CATTTTTTTGAAAAAAATTGACTTTTTTCGAGGGGGGGTGGCCTTAATTATCGTCAAGAAAGAAGTTATTGCTCATGAATCAATAGTTGCATTAACATTAGAACGTCCTCAAAATGGAAAAATCTTTAAGTTTCATGTTGGACAATATTTAACACTTCGGATAAAAAAAGATGGAAATTTTCATAATCGACATTATAGTCTTACTCGACCATTTGATGGTAAAAGTTATTCGATTGCTATTAAAATTGAAAATATGAATGAGATTAAAGGTGTTGTTTCAAATGAAATAATAAATAATTATAACATAGGTGATACAATATTAGCAAGTTTTCCAGCTGGAACATTCCAATTAGTTGAAAATAGTAAACATCATTTATTTATTGGAGGTGGAGTTGGCATAACAGTTCTTTTATCCATGATTCATGAATTAAATAAACAAGGAAAATCAAATGATGCAATTCTAATTCATTGTGTACACTCAGAAGAATATGCAGCTTTTAATGACGAACTTAAATCAATACTTCCAGAAGGGCATTATCAATTATTTTTTAAAGATCAACGATTGGGAAAAGATGATTTAGAAAAAGTATTAGAAGCAAATACCCAAGTATATATATGTGGTTCGGTGCCATTTATGGATAAAATGGAAGGTTTATTAGTTGAATGTGGTCACCCATCATCTCAAATTCATATAGAAGCATTTCAACCAACGCTCAGTATAATCAAAGGTGCAGTCAAAGATGAAGCAGAAACAAAAGTATTATAAGCTTTACGATGGACAATATTTTTAAAAATATTTTATGATTATTTTGTGGTCTTTCGTATTTTTATGATTATCAAATAATAAAAATAAACAGAACTTAAATTTTAATAAACTTTATACCTTAGCTAAATTTGTTTTCTTCGATTTCTGTAGTTCATAAGAAACTCTGTTACTTTTAATTAATGGGTGCTATATCCTAATCGGTTCATTTTGATCTAAAAACTAATCAGATCTGGTAAGAATCGATGGGAGTATATTCGATAAGACTATCGACCAATTTGATCATGAGTTAGTGTGGATCAGAGCCAAAATTTAAATCTCTTACTTCCCACAATGTATTTCATACGTAGAATAGTCTGCTTCGTTATTATGAAGAGCAAAAAATTTAAAATAGTTTTAAATTAAAACTAAGTTTTGAACACAGTTTTGAAATTCTTTTCTGTTCACCTTTGTATGAAACATTTAGAAAAATAAACATGATGATAATTTTCTCGAAAAGTTATATATGGGCACGGCCAAGCGCAGTGGCGGCGGAGCGTAGTAGGCCTAGGTAGGCTCCAGCCTATCCTAGACTGCGAACGGGTAGGCTTGGGTAGGCTCAAAATATGTCCTACGAAAGGCCTGGGTAGGCTCGATTTCATAAAAAATTTTTTTATTATAGTTTAGTTTTCATGCTCGGATAGATGTCTTATTGTTAAAAGATTGGTGCACACTCTCTCTACTATCAACTTGTGTCTACTGAAGTGTTTTTATGGGATTTGTCTGTTGTGGCGTCTGTATCTATATCGAGTCGTTTGTTTTTCAAACTCCAAAGTTTAATGTTTGTTTTAAACTTCTGTTTAAAATAAGTTTTGAATTTTAGACGCTCATAGATCATTATTCATTTTGCATACAACCGATGTAAAAAGATAGGATAAAAATCAGATTAAACTCCATTAAAAAAAGATTAGAAATCGGTTATGATTAAACGCTTTTAATCGATTTTAATCAGAAATAACCAAAAAAACAAAAGTTTCTTTGACTATTACGATGAATTGCGGTGATAATCAATTAAAAGTTCATGAAAAAAGTTGATTATAATCGATGAAAATGGGTCTCAGTTTGTTCATTTTTTCTTAGGTAGAAATCAGTTTTTCACACGAACTGCTAATCGATTATAATCTCAGTTCATTATAATAATCAAAGAAAGTTGTTTTTTTCGGTTATTTATAATTAAAAATCGATTAAAAGAGTATGATTGTAACAGATTTTTAAAAACTTTTCTGTTGATTTTCTCGTCAAAGTTTTTTACATAGGAATGTCGGCTAAAAAAAGTCAGATTATGTCTTTTCAAAGTAAAACACAAAAGACTAATAATAGTTCTGAGTATACATAAAGAAAAGTTAGGTGTACTTGATCTGAAATACATCCATTCTGGTTTTATCTTAAAAAACCAAAGTTGAAAGACTTTCTTTTGAGCGCGAATAGTTTCATTTTTTTTTCATCAATTTTTTCACCATTTTTAAGTCGTATTTCTATGTAACACTTTCAGTTCGTGTGTTCGTTCAAGAAAATAAAACATCATGTAGTTATTAAATTTCAACAGTAACTAAAGTCAGCAAGAAAGACTAAACAATTAACAGTTAAAAAAATATTCGTCTAACTTGCTCAGGAGTGCAGAATCTTCCGTTAAAACTAAAAATTTTCCCAAACGTAGAAAAATCCATCAAAAATTTCCCTCAATATTCAAGTAAAACCAAGGTTTTTTTTTGAATATTTTTGTTAAATAAATGAAAAGAGAGAAGAGACAACGACATGTTTAAAATATACTATTCTAATGAACATATCAAATCATTTGCGTATAAAATAATATTTTCACCTAAAAAATTTCTTTATTATTTTTCTATAGAAAAAAATTCAAAGTCAATAATTTTTCAAAAATTTCCCCACACGCGCGTTCGCGCAGAGGAGCATATTCTGCATCCCTGAATTTGCTATCTTGAGTGATTCGTTTGAAAAATTGAGCCTACCCTAGAATGAAATCGTTCCGCCGCCTATGCACTAATGCAAAACGAAAATTTATTTCTTAATGATTCAAGATGATTTATATCTACTTTAATATTTTGCTTAACGATAAATGCACTTTGGTTGAAAATATAGTTTTCATTTTAAAAGAAACGATTCTAAAATGATAGTATGGAGTGTTAATATTAATTTCATGGTTATTTATTGATAAAAATATAGATATAAGGAAATCGAAAATAATTTATAGTAAGAAATGCTATTTAATGTGAAACATAAAAATTAATAAATATATATATATATATATAATGAATGTTCAATAAGATTAATGGTCCTGTTCAACAAGTATTTAAAATGACATCGATAGTTTGTGTATCTTCGGATGCAGTTATTATATCTATTCGACCGTCATTATTTAAATCAACGACAATAATAAGATAAGAATTTGGATTAATATTGATGAGCATTTTTGTTGGAAAACTTCCATCACCTTTCCCCACAAATATAAGTAAACTACTGTCTTGGTAATTTGCAACAACAATATCCAAATAAGTATCTCCATTGAAATCAGCAATACCTATTTCTGCAGGATATATACCAGTTCCGTAAACCATTGGTGATTGTAAACTTCCATTTCCGTAATTAAATAAAATACTTATATTATTATTACCAGAATGTCCTATGACTAAATCTATATGTCCATCACCATTAAGATCTCCAATATCTGAAGTGTATGGTGCAGCGGTTAGTAAATGAGGAATTCTTGGCCGGAAATTTCCATCACCATATCCAAGATAGACACTGACGGTGTTATCAAAGACTTCACATACAGCAAAATCCAGAAAATTATCTTGATTAAAATCAGCGATAGATATATAATTTGGAGAACGAAGAGTTAGCACAGTATTTCTTACATGAAAACTTCCATTACCATATCCTAAAATGAGACTAACAACATTATTATCTGTAACACTAACGATAATATCTAAATTGTTATCATTATTAAAGTCACCCATCTTCACATCAAATGGAGTAGCACCAACAGGTAAAAATTGATAATGATAAAACGTTCCATCACCCGCTCCAAGTAAAACCATAATACTTGCTTTATTTTCATTAACAATAATAACATCATCATTTTGATCATTATTAACATCACCAATACTCATATATCCAAGATATTTAATAAAACTTAAGGTTACTTGTGACTGAAATGTTCCATTTTCGCCACCAAAATTAATATCCATCGCATTATTTGTATATCGAGATACAATTAGATCAAGCATATTATCATTATTTAAATCACCAATAGCAAATCCGTAAGGTATGTCATTCATAGGATAACTCTTAATTAAATCGAATGTTAATTGAGCACATCTAGGATCTATACAAATAATGATTAGATATGCGAGTTATTTTTGTTTATTTACTAACTTGATGGAGTTCTAATTGAAGTATTTATCAGTAATGAAGATGTTGAAATAGAATTATTCATTGAATTTATTGATATTAATTCTAAAATATATATATTTTTTTTGAATTTAATTGGTCAATAACATGATACATACCAGTTGTAGTAATGTTTACATTTAGTGATGATGATGATGGTCTTATGTTCTTATAAACCATTATAAGAATAAGAATTAAACCGATACCTATAATTATACTACCAATAAGACTAAGTAGTCTAAGTAAAAATGATTTTTTCGATGAATTATTAGTTATTCTACATAAGAAAAGTAATATTTTATCAGACAAAACATTTCATTGAAAATATATACTCATTCATCGTTAATAATGTTGTTGATGATGGTGCATCGATCATATCGACAGACAACTTTTGTTTTTTGTTCACTCTCTTCAAATATATAATATAATGTATGTGAATTTATGTGCTAACCAACTTGTTTTTCTCCAGTTTATCTAAAATATAAGAAAAAGAAACTTCTGTTTACATTTGATGAACTTTTTTTTTCTTTCAAAAAAAATGTTTTACGCGTTTTTTTAGAAATGGAATAGTAAACTATATGTGCGCAATTAGTTAAAATAGAAAAGAAAAACGTTATGGAAAAGAATTTAATTTAGATAAATCTTACTATGCTGATTCTTTTTTAACGTTGTTATTAACACAAAAAAAGAAAAATACGCTAAGATATTGAACATGAAACACTACAATCACTTATCATAAGAATCTCAAATAAAGAGAAGATAAGAATATTAATGGATATATAATCATTTACTGTGTGTCTTAATGGAAATGATGAAGAAGATACTACTGATAAGCAAGAACATTAGCATAACTGAATAAAATACATTTTTATAAGCTTATAAGAAAAACATAAAATGCAAAGCAAAGCAAAGCAAAGCAAAGTTAATGTTTTATTCGAGAGTTGCATTATTAGATTCTATAAATGGTGTTATACGTGTTTTTCTTCGATAAAAAGCCCAAAGAATAATATAAATAGAAGGTGGTAAAATAATTTTTAATGAACGTGATAAACCTTCATATAAAGATATTATAGTTAATAAAATATAAATAATATTAAATGTTTGAATATAAGAATATTTACATTGTAAAGAATGACATTTTTGAAAATAATTTTTATATGATTTATTAATATACCAATTGTCAATAAATAATCTATCAACCATTTCTTGTATAGTATCATTAATTCCATAGAAATTAGTTGATGATAAAAATGGATTAAGTATTGTAAAATTAATATCTGATATATTTTCATCAATAAAATATCGAATAGAATTTAAACATGTTTCATTATATAAACATTCTAATGTAGATTGTAAAATAGTTTCAAGTGGATAACAACCAATTAACAATCCAGGTAACCCGAAAGGATAATTATCGGTAACTATTGCTGGTTGTGTACATTCAGATGATGTTGCACAACTACAAAAATTACCGTATGTTTGTGGATTTGTATATACAGGTGAAGCATCACTTGTAGCTAATACAGTAAATTTCCAATTCGATTCATAAGCTG